TTTTTTCACTTGAGAAGGATTTTGAATTACCAAATTCTGTTTTTATTAGAGCGAATTTGCTCGTATTTGAGAATTTCGGTTCCCCCAACTTCAAACTTCGGTTCAAAGCTGTAGGTATTATAGATTTTAATCTAAAATTCGAATTTTTCTTTGTATCTCTTTTCAGCTTTTTGCTCGGTTTGTCTCAAAATAATGCTTTTCAAGATAAAAATCTGGAATTGTGCATCAGAAGTAAAACTTATTTGCTATCGGTGTTTTTTCAATTCAACCAGAAATTCGAAATCGCGCGTCGAACAGTGGCATTTCAATAGAGCGCATTTGCCGTGCACGTCGAAAATGGAAAACTAAACAAATTTGGTGTTCCTTGTGTAGAAAAAACATTTTTTTTTGTAATCAAATTCAGCAGGAATAACGAAAGCCTGTTCGAAAAGTCCTTATTTCTTTCATTGCAAATTCAATTTTTCGTTTTTCACCGCGCGGCAATCGCGCTCCATTCAACATCTTCAAGTTCGATTATCATTTTCCAATCATAAAACCGTTATTTATCAATAAATATGTTTCATAAAAACCGTCATAAGAATTGAGTAATTCTCACGAAGCATGCATCAAAGGCGATTGGTCGCCTAGCTGAGTTGAAAGTGAGACGAAAAGACGAGGAAAAAAAGGGGTGATAATGTCAAAAGAGGTACAAGGTAGAGATGGGGGTGGAGTCTAAAAAGGGGGAGAAAAATGAATATATATGAATGTATGAATCAGAACAGAAATGAGTCAGAGAGGAGGTTGAAGGGCTCTTCAGTGGGTATGAGTGGGAGAGCCAAATGCGGTATTTTTTTTTATACTGTCAGAGCTTCAGAATTGGGGCTCCCTTAAGATATGACCTTCAGATTCTTGGATGACGAAAACAGAACATTCTGTACTGGAATTAGGGTTTTCGTATTTTTTTTTTACCTGAATTTTTTAAAACAACCCTCATGAAATTATTGTAATCTACAAGATATATTTTTTACAATTTTAGGTGTGCGCCTTGGAGGTAGATGCATCTTTACAGTATCATTTTTGAAAACTTTGTTACCTATCTACCCCTAAAAATGGAGTAAAAATCAAATGATAAATAAAATATTTCTCCATATTGATGGGGGAAATGCATAAAATGTATGAAGAGGAGAGCAGTTTTTATCGCTCCGCTACCGTGCCGCGGTCGTAAATCTAGCCAAACAATTTGTGTGTGACGACAACATTTTTTTTTGGAAAGTCATGGAGAGTTATGAGTGGAAATTTTTAGAAAGCGGGAAGGTATAAGAATTGATTCTCAAGAAAATGTGGTTTTTAAGATTGTGAGATATTCTGAGGAGTGCAGTTGCGCTCTATTGAGAAGGGGGACATGACTTGCTTGTAGACGCACAGTTTCGAATTTTTTCGATGAGAACGTGGTGAATTCGTTGTTTCAAGAGGTTTCCTGTCAAGTTTTTCGGAAATTAGTTTTTTTTAAATCACATTTTTGTTAAAATAACGAAATCATAATGTTTTTTTTGTGAAATATTCCAAATAGAGCGCAACTGCATTCGTATTTTTTAAAAGTTTCAAAATCAGTTTTTTTTTTCTCATTTTCTGGGAAAAAATCAATGGAATTTTACTTTATTTCGTCAGTTTTTTTTTCAAAACATTAAAAAAAATTCCTTCGCGGTGGTGCTCATCAGTTTCGAGGTAAAAATAGCGACGAAACCGCCAGAAACTGGCGCTTTCCATCACCTGATAACCATCTATTTTTAGTTTTATCTTAAATAGCATCTTTTCCAGAAATGGAATGACCAAAATAATCTCTTTTTATTATCAATTAACACCGACTGGCACCCGATTTAGAAATCGTCTTGAAAATGACTATTTTTAGGTAGTTAATATCGAATTAATGGGAGCAAATGGGCAGAAAGACTACCTGATAAGTAGTTCAATATCACGAAAAAAGAGAGAAAATGAGGGAAGTTACTGTAGGTCATGATGTCAGTTTTCCACTGATTAGGTGAAATTTTTTACGGGAAAATCATGGGAAATGAAGAAAGTTGAGAAGGGAAACTAGAGCAACCATTTTCAGAGCTGACCTCCAAAACTGAAGGGAAAAATCAGAATTGTCGTAAGATTTGATGTTTTGTGTGCAAACACTACAACTAATACTTCAATAATTTTTACAAGAATGGGAGATCAAAAAATCAACGAAACGGGGGGATTCCTTGGTGACTCACCCCTAACTTTTAAAAGTTAGGTATTTCTCATAGTTTACATGTTCTGATTGGAACTTGATAACTGACTAAACATACATGAGGAAAGAACTACATCAATGATTCAACTATCTTTCTCTCTCTCTCTCTCTCTCTCTCTCTCTCTCTCTCTCTTTTTCCATGTGCTGATATGCGCTTCTCCTTTTTTTCCCAATATTTTTCTGATGCAGCAAACAAAATTGATGACAAACATAATACAAACGTCTATCATTCTCGCATATTTTAGAAATTTTGAGTTTTCGGAAGAAGAGGGAGAGAGGGAGAGAGAGAGAAAAGAGCCTTTCAGCAAAATGGTGCTAAAAGTCTATATTCCAGAAATCAAAATTTTCAGATCAGCACCAAACATTGCTGATCTTATCAACCCCCAAAAAAAGCGAAAACATCAATTCAGTATTAGTCAGAAAAAACTGACACTTCACTTGCAAAAAGTAATAATTAGTCATTTATTTGAATTGACTAATTTTCAAGAAAAAATTGCTCTACACAACAGAAATTTCAAAAAAAAAACCTAAAAAAAAAGGCAAAATTGGAGCAAAATTCACTTGAATACCACACAAAACAGCATTCCTTGTATAGTAAAAAGAAGAAAATGTTGAAGAGAGCCTAAACTGCGGGAAAACTATGCAGAGGATGACTCATTTTCCCTTTTCTTCTCAATTCAAAAAACATGAATCACCGCCGTACTTTTTATGAAAAGAAGAGGATGAGTATAGTTTTTTTGAGGGAATGAAACTCAAAAGGGTTCTAAGATTGGTTTTCTATGGAAAAAAACACAGTGGAATATCGGAGCATCGTTGCACACCTTCTGTCAGACCCCACAGACCCCACAGACTCCGCCCACCGTTACACAATAGATGGTGGATGGCGGAACCCGTGAGGTGTCGGCTACAGTGTACATAGGGGGTATATAACGGGGGTGCCCTACTGGTCATAACACCCGCACAGTACACGATGGTCCTGGCCCGGCCACGTAGTACTAAGGGAGTAGCCAGTAACGTCTCTGAGGACAACTTCTCTTCTCTTCTCTACATCGACAATAGCAGGGACAACTCTAGCAACTTCATCAGGACAACTAAAGGATCACTTCAGGACTATAAATACCCCCTAGTGCATGCAGCCCCTACCACTTTTGCAATTTTTAATACCTGTAACGACAAATTTATCTACTCTCAGTTTTCAAGGCGCATGCAATAATGATAGGTCCAACAGATGTCGGAAGTTCTTACTGTACCGATTTCCGATTTCCACGGAAATGAGACCCTCTGGTCGGTTACAAAAACATAAAATGACTAACTTTGAAAAATGTGTCCAACAATTCTGAAGACCATCAGAATACCTTTTCCTTTGTTAATGTTAATAACTTTCAATGATAAAGGTTCCATTCAAATATCCCAGAATTTTCCAGAATAACAAATTTGAAACCATTTTCAATGCCCATGATGAAAAAAATAACCAACAGGCTGCAAAAATTGAAAGAAGTAGTTGTTATCCTGACCAGGGCATAGAACTCTGAGCATTGAAAATCGGAATTTGAAGTTTTCATGAACGAAAATCCACCCGTTTTGATCTGCTCGGATTTTTTGACAGAAACCCGAAATTTTCAATTTATGCATATTGAAACCTTTTCCATGCCACATCTCCATCCATTTTACCCAATCACAAAAAGAGCCATGCATCACCACCACCCTTTCCATGTGTGTCTGAACTAATAAATGCCAATAAACGTAGCTTTTTTACTGCTGCCCCGTCGAGAAGTTTGTCAGTATCACCCCTCGTTATCATCTTGTCTTCCCTTCTTTTCTACTGCCCGCCGCACCCTCTTTCCACGTCACCGTTTCTTTTCTAATTCAATTTTCGAATTTTGAAACAAGTTACTCTCCATTTCAGCCATGCTTCATCGTTTTCTTCTCGGGCTTTCGTCCGTTTGCCTCGTAGCAGGATTGTTCAATCCGTTGCTTCCATCACTTGGAGATTACTTGTTGACTGAGAAACAAGTACAGACTTATTTCTCAACTGGACCCAAGAATTTGGCATTGGGATCCTGTAATAGTGTTCCATTTGCTTCTGCACAGGTACATCATTTTTCGTGGCGAGACTCACACCGCGCCGTTAAGGGAGATAGTTCCTTTTTTCCATGTCCTTTTTGGAAACTATTAGCAACTTTAGCAACATTTCGATCAACCAAAAAAAATCAGCTCCAAAATTCCCCGATCCCCGATTTCCCAAAAAAATTTTCAGGCTGGATTTGCTGCTGCCGTTGGCCTGCCACCAACTACCACTTGGCGCGATGCCAACACTCTCACTAATGCCACAATCACCACTATCGATCAAGGAATTGATCAGTTGGCTGCGGTTTGCGGGTAACTTTTTCAAAAGAACCTCTAATAGAGTTGCATGTCTTTCATAATCGATTCCGCTAATTTTGGGTTACAGTACACTATGAAATCTACGGTTTCAAGAGCCCATTTTGTTCCAGAGCCCGTCAACAATTCGTGCAAACTCTCGGTCAGACCTATGACACCTGTGTCGACCGATTCTATTTGATTTCCCTTGGAAACACCGATTGGTGGAATGTGATGCAATACACTCATCTCATGAAGCATCTCGAACTCATTTGCAGTACTGGATTTGATGGTGAGGCAGGAAATTTTTTGATGGGATGGGATTGAGAGTAAAAATTGAGAACCTATTGCTTTCCCTGGTAATAGAAAACAAAGTAAAAAAAGAAGACAGCAGAGGGAATCGAACCCACGCCATGAAATTCTAAAACAGCAACATTAGCCACTAGACCATGGCAGCATCACGAGCGTGTGAAAGAGAAGGTATAGAGGTAATGTGATATAATAGAGATAATGTCTTTTGATCGAGGCTAAGCGTGTGTGTGAGTCTTCGGGACATGAGAAAAAAAGGTGCAAAAATCTGAAAATCCCAATTTTCCAAATTTTGTAATAACCCTATAAAACAGAAAAAGAAACATCAAATGGCCTTCCTTTTGGCGGCTTTTGTGTGTCACAGCGTGACAAATACCAAAACAACAACTCTTTTTTTTTTGAAGGTCGCCTGTTACATAATATCTCATTTTTCTTGTGAATATCCTTGGAAGAATTTTGAATGATCATTAGAGAGAAAAAGAGAGAGAGAACGAATAGTGAACGAATAGTCTGTGAACGAATAGTCACACAGGCTGACGAGCCGAAAATTGAGAAAGTGTGCTCCAGTGTAAAAATGCGAAAAACGTATTAGTTGCCTTTAAAGGCGCATGCAATCATTATTCTGAAGGTCTCAACACGATGTAATATCTTACTGTACTTTAGAACATTTGTGTGTAAATAAGACATTCTGAGGTGATAAAAAATGTGGAAATATTAGGAAAAATCAAGAAACGGATCCCGACTTTTTTTCAATTAAAAAATCCATATTTGCTTTATTTGGAAAAATAGAAGTGCTACAGTAAACCTTTCTTCGTGGTGAGACCCATTTGAGTCGTTTTTGATTTTTGTTGAAGATCAGAAAATCAAGCAAAACTCATTCGAGTTCAGAATAAAACAATCCCCAATCTTTCCAGTCTACCAAAACAACATTGACTGTATCCGAAAGGGCGAGACCACTGACGGTAACCAATACCGCGCGTGCTTCTACAAATTCAATGCCACCGTCAACGCCAACCCGAACAACTTCTGCGGTGCCACCGAATCATTCATTGGATGCATCAAGGACTTCTTCACCACCGAATGCAACGCCTACGTCGGATGGATGCAGTGCGAATTGGAAAGAGTCGGATTCGCCTATGACTGCTATGGACTTGCATGCTAAGAAATGTAAAAAAGAATTATATTTTATGAGCACAAAAAAAGAAAAGATTGAATAAATGATTATCACTTGTTTTCTGAATATTATTGGGTGGGTGAGAAGCGGATAAAGGTAAAACATGTAGAAGAAATTGGGATCGATCGGAAATGAGGTCGTGGAAAGGGGAGGCAATATAAGAATGGATAAAATAACAAAATGCGTAATAATAATCATTAGACAGCCTTGTGCTCATCTTGTGGGTGGTGTTCAAATTCATAATCACAATGAACGAAAGCCCTTTCAATCTCCGGCAAAGCTTCAATCCCGGTTTGTAGACTTTCGGCGATGTCGTGGGTGACTTTGAGCGTCATGTTCTGATCCAGAACTATGTGGACCTGGAAAATTTGTATTTTTGGAATTTTAATTTCTCCAAATCTGTGGGCTTGCAAATTTAACAAAATGTAGATATCGTCGAGCCCTACAGGTTTGGAAAATCAAACCACAGTCCTGGGCTGCACGAGCCAGGACAGTAACGCTGGGCCCGTTGCTCTGACAGAACTCGTTTCGGAAAAAGGGAATTCCGAATTTTTTTTCAGAACTTTTTTTGGGAAAAAATGTTTTTAAAATTAATTTCTTACCGATAGATTTTGGATAAAAAAATATAGAAGTAAATCGCGAAAAAGGGCTAATTTCTCTTTTTTTTTTTTTTGTAGTTATTACAGAAAATCTTCTGAAAATAGTCAAAAAATTAGATTTTTGTATTTGTAATTTTTTCGCTGCGGAAAATCATGCATGCCGAGAAAAATATTTCGAGAAAGTAAAAAAAAAAGGGAAATCCGAACTTCCGTTCTCCAATTCCCAAAATCCTCATTGGAAAACGATTACCTCGACTAAAAATTTCGTCCCATAGTGATAAACATAAACAGTATCAATGTGGGTAATCCGGGAATCATGCTCAATACACTGATGAATAATCCGATTGATGAGCTCCGGCCGTGCAGATTTACCACTCAACATGACGAAGTGGGCGTAACCGGTTCTCAACCATGTGTACAAGATGTAGATTGACACGATAATAGCTCCAACCGGGTCGAGATAATACAAATCACAACCACGCTCCGGACAGATTCCAAACAAAGTGACTCCAGTGGGTTCTCCGTTTTTGGCTCCGTAGTTATAGGCAAGCCAGGCGCATGCTAAAGCCATCGAGATGGAGAGGCAGTCGTTCCGGTGGTCCAAGGAGAGAACTTTGATCGAGGAGTTGGATTTGTACCTAGAAAAAAAAAGATTTTGATTCTGTGATTTTCTTTTTTTAAATCTTACTTTTGGCAAATAATGTAGAGAGTGAGCTTGACGACGATCGTTGAGAGCATGATTCCAATGGTCGGGTAGGAAACATCGATGTTGTCTCGGTCTGTTCCAGCGGCTGGAATCAAAATATTTCAAAAATCAATCAATAATTAATTCTAAAACTTACCAACGATCCGTGTGATCGATGAGATGATCAGCTGCACACTTGCCATTCCCATAATAACACTGACGAGCACCAATGCCAACGGCTCAACACGGGTCCTGCCACGTGGATACTGATACGGATCCCGCTTTCGAATCATCAACGAAGACAAGGAGAGCACCGCTCCAGAAGTGAGATCAACGACGGAATCCACCATTGTGGAGATGATGGACATCGATCCGGACATGTAGGAAGCCACGATTTTAGCGACCATCAGAAGGAAATTGACGAGAAGAGTGATGTTGGCGAGACGGGCGGCCGCTTTGGCGAGCTTCTTCTCCTCGTTTTGCGATTCTTCGTGACGAAGAAGAAGGGAATCTTGGGATTTGACGGAGATCGTGGAGGCTCTCATCGTTCCAGGATCCGAAGAATCGGACTCACTGGCTCTGGCACTCAGACGACGCTCCTTGGTCCGTCGTGCTGCTTCTATTTGTTCTGAGTCTTGCTTGTAGTGATCGAGTATCTCGTTTTGTTTCTTGTAGTAGTCTGTGAGATTCTTCTTGGCGTCCATAGCGTTCTTCACGAGCTTCTCCTCCTCTGCCGTGGAATTTGAACTGTTTCCACTGAAAAATTCAAAAAAAAAATTTTTTTTCATCCGAAACCGTTTTACCTCTCATCAGGCGGCTGAGCCTCTAACCTGCTCGGATCCGACATTCTAGAAATCAATCTGCGACGATAATCAATCATTATTAACGATTTGGGAAGAAAAATGACAGAAGGGATAGAGAGAACGCTAGGGCGGAGCTTCCTTTCCAAAACAGGAGGCCACGCCCCTTGACCTATGCAAGCTATTCATAAAGTATTCACAAAAAATTATTTAGGTTGTCAAATAAAGAATTACGAAATCTTTTAGCCTTGAGCGAGAGAGATAGAGAGCGCGCAAAGAGTTGTTTACTGCAAGGGGCCTGTAATTAATTACACTGCGCTCTCTAGCTCTTTACAACCGTACAATAAATCTTTTGTGCACTAAAAAATGCGGAAAAACTTTTTTCGAAATAAAAAAGACGAAAAACAGAAAAAAAGACACAAAAACAAAAAAAGTTGAAGGTTTAAAGGAACATTGAATATTTTCAGATTGTGGTTCTGCCACGATTGTTTTACAGTTACTGTAGGGGCCGCGCGAGTTTCGCATTCGAATTTGTTTTTGTTTTTCCGGTCAAAAACAGCCGAAAACATATTTTTTTTTGATGATTTGTCAAGTTTTTCCGTTCACATCAAAACATTTTCAGGAAAAGCGACGAGTTCTACACGTCCACGTCGTCTCCGAAAAACTATCAAAATGACGAACGTAGGGATTTTGTTGTTATTCATCATTAATTCTTGATTTTGCAGGAAATTTCAGGACGAAGCAATTATATGACGAGTATGCGAATGGAAGAGGTAAGATTCGCGAAATGAAGTTGACTTCGAAGCCACGTCGACAACTTTTTCCATTATTTCAGGATTGTACGCCATTTAACAGTGAAGAATTTCTCAGAGAGTTGGAAGCCGATCTAAACGAGGATGACAGTGAGGAAAACAGTAATATATTGCCATGAAAATCTATTTTTAGGTCAAAGCGACGGATCATCAAAGATTCCCAACGTGGATCGCATCCCTGTCGAAGTGAGAAGAATTCGATTTAATCAAACCGAGCAAGTACGCCTAATGAGAAACAATGGTTAAAACAAGAAGATTTTTTAGTGTAGCAACCGCCCGACACTGTCGAACAAGTTCATGCTGAAGGGACTCATTGAACGGACCGAGCACTACAACAAGACGGTCGACCGAAGAGTAATGACAGATGCCAGAATCGCGTTCGGTAGACCTCTCAATGCTTCATGTAATCAGTATTATTTTTTCCAGAAGAAGAGCAGTTTAGAAGTGGAAAAGGGCAGAATACGACGACGGACGAGGTCGAAGTTTTGGCACTTTCCAGTCAGAATATACCGAAACGCGGACGTGGAGACTACTTTGGAAAGATGCGTAGTGCTGTAAATTCGTTTTTGAAAACTTGTTCGTATCATAGTTTTTCAGGCTGCTTACGGCGCATCGTCCAGCATTTCAAACAACAACAACAACAATAACACCACCAGTAACTTCAACGGATTTCTCAAGACAACGGTATATCGTAATTCTCGAATCTAGGCGAATTCAATTTGTTTCAGAACAGAAACTTCAATATCCCATTCCTGAGCGACAAAGGGAAAGACGACTTGGAACTCTCCGAGAGGGATAGCCGCATCCTAGAGTTTAGACCCCCACGTCGTTTTGGATCTCGATTGACAGAAGCGGAAGGAGAGAAACCACTCGCTAGACATCATTTCAATCCAGAAACTGCTTACAATGGAACAGTAAGTTCAGGGTCACCGAAAACTGAAAATGTGATTGGCGCACACCGATCATTTTCAGCGCTTTTTGATTAATCATTTGCGTCTCTTGTTTCGACGAACTCGTTTACTCAGTTTCACTTTACGTGTTCTCAAATCTGACGTCTTCTTCTAAGGCGCATGGATTC